ACTCAGCTTCTTTAGATCTGCGTCAAGGCTTCCCCATCCGTCCGGCTTTTCATTACACACCAAAACCGCGGCGGCGGCGGTCCAGCCTGCGTTGCTCCATAGCTAGCCACGAAAGACCAAAGATCTCGTCCCCGATTACTGCTTTTGTCGGTAATAAATCCTCGCTTGAACCATTCCTAGCTACAGATCCCTCCACCATGCTGTCGGCCGGCCACCACCTCCTCCTCCTCCTCCTCTTGGCTATTCCTCCTCTTCTTCGAGCACAGTTGGATTACCCGTCCGCCAATCTCTCCACGATATGGACCAACGACCCCTCTCAGCTGTCGCACACCGTCAACTTCATAGACGGCTCCCAGGTCCGCTCCATCCTCCTCCGCATCAGCCCCAGCTTCTTCGGGCCCACCTTCGCCTGCGGCTTCTTCTGCAGAGAACCCTGTGTCGCCTTTCTCTTCGCCGTCTTCGCCGTCTACACCAACAGCGGCGGCGGAATCACCCTGCCCACCTTGGCTTCCCCCCAGGTCGTCTGGTCCGCCAACCGAGACCGCCCCGTGGGCGCCAACGCCACACTCCATTTCACCGCAGGCGGCGACTTGGTTCTCCACGACGCCAACGGCACCACCGTTTGGTCCACCGGCACCTCAGGCAGGTCCGTTGTCGGCATGAACATATCAGTGTCTGGAAATCTCGTACTTTTCGATCAAGATGGCAAGCTAGTCTGGCAATCCTTCGATCATCCAACGGATTCGTTATTACTCGGGCAGACACTCAAAGAGGGGCAGAGGCTTGTGGCCAACACCTCCATGACCAATTGGACGCGAGGTCAGGTATACCTCACCGTTCTTTCCGATGGCTTGTATGCATTTGTTGATTCTACTCCTCCTCAACTTTACTACCAGAATAAGATTAGTAGCAATAAAGCAACCAAAAATTCAACGCATATCAAGTACCTCAATGGCAGCCTTGTCGCCCTGTCTACTGAATCGAATAACTCAGACCAAATGATTTCATTGCCTTCGGCACCGTCGCTTCAGTTCTTGAGGTTTGAGTCCGACGGGCATCTTAAAATTTATGAATGGAGGGATGAACCGAGCCAGGGTTGGCAGGTGATAGATAATCTTCTGCATTTGGATGATTGTGCTTACCCGACTGTCTGCGGGGAGTATGGAATTTGTTCTAATGGACAGTGCAGCTGCCCTAGTGGAGCAAATGTGAGTTCGATCTACTTCCAGTCGGTCGACGATAGGCAATCTGGTCTCGGTTGCTTCCCTGTGACTCCTCTATCTTGCCAATCCATGCAACAACATAGCCTTTTAGCTGCTGACAATGTTTCTTACTTCAATTACATCGACAGTGATGCTGCAGCACTTGAAGGAATCGATGAGGAGCGCTGCAAACAAGCATGCTTGAAGAATTGTTCTTGCAAAGCTGCTCTTTTTCAGTATGCTGCAAATGTTTCAAATGGCTACTGCTTTTTGCCATCACAACTTTTTTCGTTGCAGAACAACCAGCCTTCAATATCTCACTATAATTCATCTGCATACATTAAGGTGCAGATGACCACTGCATCTCCTACACCTGATAATTCAGGCAGAAACACCACCACCGGAAATAGGAGCTATAGTGTTGGTGTTATATTAGGCATTGTTGGAGCTGTGCTTGCGGCATTTCTCATAGGAGGCATCATCATTGTGTTTGTTCGAAGAAGAAAGTCCACGGAGGAAGAAGAGGATGACTTCCAGCAAGTTCCGGGAATGCCAACACGGTTTGCTTTCGAAGAGCTGAAATTGGCGACGGATAGCTTCTCCAAAAAGCTTGGCCAAGGAGGTTTTGGATCTGTTTACGAGGGGAAGATAGGTGACGAGAAGATTGCAGTGAAACAATTGGATGGAGTCGGCCAAGGGAAGAGAGAATTCTTAGCAGAAGTTGAGATAATTGGTAGTGTTCATCATATCAATCTGGTAAGGCTAATTGGCTTCTGTGCAGAGAGATCACATAGGCTCCTGGTTTATGAATACATGTGCAATGGATCGCTCGATAGGTGGATCTTCAGCAAAGGCCAACGCGGCACTCTCGATTGGCAAACGAAATGCAAGATTGTTGCCGATATAGCTAAGGGATTATCCTATCTTCATGAAGAATGTAGGCAAAGGATTGCTCATTTGGATATCAAGCCTCAAAACATTCTATTAGACGAAAAATTCAATGCCAAGGTCTCTGATTTTGGACTGTCCAAGCTCATCGACAGGGATCAGGAGGAAGTGATGACCAGAATGAGAGGGACACCGGGGTATCTCGCACCTGAATGGTTAACGTCAGTGATCACTGAAAAGGTCGACATATACAGTTTCGGTGTCATGATCGTTGAAATAGTTTGTGGAAGAAAGAATTTGGATTACTCTCAGCCAGAAGAAAGCATTCATCTGATCGGTCTCCTGCAAGATATGATCAAATCAAATCGATTGGAAGACATTATCGACAGTCGTAGTGATGAGATGAAGCTGCACAAGAAAGAAGCCGTTGAGATGATCAAGCTAGCAGTATGGTGCTTACAGGGTGACAGCAATAGAAGGCCTTCCATGTCGACCGTGGTAAAGGTTTTGGAAGGTGCAAGGAATGTAGAAACCGATCTGGACTATAATTTTTTCATGAATACTTCCATAATGCCAAAAAACGGGGATCATTATGATCACCATTTAGATGCTTCGCCTGCACCATCTGCATCCCTTTTATCAGGTCCAAGATGAACATTGACGTATTCAAGGCAATTTAACTTGTGTTCAGCCATGTAATTTCTCGTTGAAGCCTGTCTATACTGTGTTTTCTTTGAATTAAATGGGTATTTTGGTTGTTCTTCGTGATAGAAGATAAGATTTCCTAGGAAATCTTATCTATTCTGTTGAGGAAAATCCTCTATTCTGTTGAGGAAAATCCTCCCTCCTAATCCTATAAATAGGAGAGGAACATGTTAATGTATTCCAAGCTAAAGCTATTTCATTTCTACAATAAAGTTCTTCAATTATTGTTCTTATCTTCTATTATTTCTATCATGGTATCATGATATCAGAGCAGTGAGAAAAGCGAAGCTTCGCTCTTGCCTTCGGCCAGCGACCAACGCCGCCAACGCCGTTGAGAAAAGTGAAGTTTCGCCCTTGCCTTCGGCCAGCGACCAACGTCGCTGCAGGCAAATTCCTAAGAGGCTCCACGGCCAATCCTCATCTTCATCTTCCTCACTGCGGTAGCCTTCGCTGTCTTCGCTGATCTGCTAACAGTCAGCGGACTTAAGGAGAACGAAGGGAATGCCTGTGCCCTCACAGCAACAGCAATCGCAACAGCAACAACGATCTGCTCTTGCCCTACTCACGAAGCCTCTTTCTTACGCCTCTTTCTTACTGTTGAGGAAAATCCTTTATTCTGTTGAGGAAAATCCTCCCTCCTAATCCTATAAATAGCCTATAAATAGGAAAGGAACATGTTAATGTATTCAAGCTAAAGCTATTTCATTTCTACAATAAAACTTTTTCAATTATTGTTCTTATCTTCTATTATTTCTATCACTTCGTTCATATCTGATACTACTGGTTTTCGATCGATTTTGTAATTGCCGCAGCAGTTAAACCACGAAATTTCCACGAAGTCCAACTACGAAAGCTCCATGCCCCCACTCGGTCGGATGACGCGAGGTGACCGGCGAGGGTGGGGAGATCAACTAGTGGGGATTAGGATAAATGGGAAAGGATGCGAGGAGGAAGTCGTGTTTCGGTGGTCGCTGGCTATGCTGACATGATGTGAACAGAGCATGTGTAGTAAAGAAAGGAAGAACTCCACTATCCATCTGCTTATCTTGTGTTCCTGACAAGCCAAGACCATGTCTTCCCTTTCCTTCCGGTGTTCGGTTTCTTTAGATCTGAATTGAAGTCTCTGTCCATCAATCCACTTCTTCCGCCGCCGGTACTACGTTGTCTCCTAGCCATCGCTGCCTGCATTCTCTCTGGGTCAAACCTCTCCTTATCAGTTTTGATATATTGAAAAAACTTTATTGAAAAAATAAAAATATTTTAATATATTAACATGTTCCCTCACCTATTTATACAGATTAGGAGAAAGAATTTCCCTCAATAGAAAAAATTTCTCATATAGTTAGGAAAATCTTATCTTCTATCATGCTCCTACAAGATGATGTTCCTGATAAGGATACCAATCTTGGATCTATGCAAAGAATGATTTACAAACGAGAGACTTCGTGAGTAGGACAAGAGCAGATTGCTGCTATTGTTGCAATTGCTGTTGCTGTGAGGGCACAAGCGTTTCCTTCGTTCTTCTTAAATCCGTCCTTCGTTCTCCTTAAGTCCATCGACTGTTGACAGACCTTCGTTTTTCAAATCCGTCCTTCGTTCCCTTCGTTCTTCTTAAGTCCATCGATTATTGGGGTCGAAGATGAGGATTAGTCGTGGAGCCTCTTAGGAATGTGGCTGCAGCGACGTTGGTCGCTGGCCGAAGACAAGGGCGAAGCTTTTTTTAACGATGTTGATCGTTGACCAAAGGCAAGAACGAAACTTCGAATACCATAATGAAAAAAATAAAAGATAAAAATAATTATTGAATAAACTTTATTGAAGAAATAAAAGTGTTTCAATACCTAACATCTTCGCTCTCTATTACAGAGAAAGAATTTTCCACCTTCCGACGACGCAGCCCTAACTTCTTCGGCCCCACCTTCGCCTGCGGCTTCTACTGCAAAGATGCCTGTACCTCCTTCCTCTTCGCCGTATTCGCCGTCTACACCAACAGCGGCGGTGGTATCACCATGACCAACTTGGCTCCTCCCCAGGTCGTCTGGTCCGCCAACCGCGATCGCCTCGTCGGGACGAACGCCACACTCCACCTGACCGCAGGCGGCGATTTGATCCTCCGTGGCACCGACGGCACGGCCGTCTGGCCGGCCGGCAGGTCCGTCGTCGGCATGAACATAACGGAGTCTGGAAATCTAGTGCTTTTCGATCAAGATGGCAAGCTGGTCTGGCAATCCTTCGATCATCCAACGGATTCGTTGGTTCTCGGGCAGATGATAGGAAATCCAACCTGGGTTGCTCCCCTGTGAATCCTCTGTCCTGCCAATCCATGCAAGAGCATGGTCTCTTACCTGCTCATGATGTTTCTTACTTCAGTTATGCTTACGGTGCTGCGAACTTTCAAGGAATTGATGAGGACAGTTGCAAGCAAGCATGCTTGAAGAATTGTTCTTGCAGGGCTGCTCTTTTTCAATACTCTGGAAATGTTTCAGATGGCAATTGTTTTCTGCCATTGCAACTCTTTTCGTTGCAGAACAACCAGCCTTCCACATCTCATTATAATTCATCTGCATATATTAAGGTGCAGAACATTGTTGCGTCTCCTGCATCTAATAATACTAAAAAGAGGGATGTCGGTATCGGAGTTTCAATAGGTATTATTGGAGCTGTGCTTATTGCATCTCTCATCGGGGGCATGATCATCAGATATGTTTGGAGAAAAAGGTCCAGAGAAGAGGAAGAGGATGACTTCCAGCAAGTACAGGGAATGCCAACAAGGTTCGCTTTCGAGGAGCTGAAATTAGCGACAGAAAATTTCTCAAAAAAGCTTGGTGAAGGAGGGTTTGGGACTGTTTACCAGGGGAAGATAGGGGATGAAAAGGTTGCAGTGAAGCGTTTGGATGGAGTCGGTCAAGGGAAGAGAGAATTCTTAGCAGAAGTTGAGACAATTGGTAGCATTCATCATATCAACCTGGTAAGGCTAATTGGATTCTGTGCAGAGAAATCACATAGGCTCCTTGTCTATGAATACATGTGCAATGGATCAGTTGATAGGTGGATCTTCAGCAAAGGTCAACATAGCACTCTTAATTGGCATATGAAACGTAAGATAATTGTCGATATAGCAAAGGGATTGTCTTATCTTCATGAAGAATGCAGGCAAAGAATTGCTCATTTGGATATCAAGCCTCAAAATATACTCTTAGATGACAGATTCAATGCCAAGGTCTCTGATTTTGGACTGTCCAAGTTGATAGACAGAGATCAGGAGCAAGTGATGACTAGAATGAGAGGGACACCGGGGTACCTGGCACCTGAATGGTTGACATCAATAATCACTGAAAAGGTCGATATATACAGTTTCGGCGTTGTGATCATTGAAATTGTTTGTGGAAGAAAGAATTTGGACTACTCTCAGCCCGAAGAAAGTGTTCACCTGATCAGTCTCCTTCAATTGGAAGACATCATTGATACTCATAGCGATACCAAGCAGCATGCAAAAGAAGCCATTGAGATGATCAAACTAGCAGTATGGTGCTTATAGAGAGACAGCAACAAAAGACCTTCCATGTCGACCGTGGTAAAGGTTTTGGAAGGCGCAAGGAACGTAGAAACTGATCTAGACTACAATTTTTTTGCAAATACCCCCATAATGCCGAGGAATAGGGATCATTATGATTACCATTTGGCTGCTTCACCTGCACCATCTGCATCTCTTTTATCAGGTCCAAGATGAAAGACCAAATTCGCAAGGGCAGCTCATTGTGTTGGCATGTTCAAAGCATGTTAACTTGTGTTCAGCTATGTAATCTCTCATTGAACCCTCTGTAACCTGAGTCATCTTAAAATAAAAAGGCATGCAGTGGTTGTTCTCCATCCATATGTGCCACTGTGAATTTGAAAGCATGCATGTGTTTGACATTGATGAAAGCATTTGCTCTTCATGAAACAGAACACTTCTTTTAATTGCTTTCTGTTCCTATGTGATATTGATGAAGTCACTGACACTGTAAAGAATGCTTGTTTGACAATGATATATGCACAAACCTGAAACAAATTTGTGCTACCATCACCCATAACATTTTACACAGCAATCTAATCCATTTAAGCATCAATTTCCTTTTGCATTCTTCTGCAACCGATCTGTCCCACACCCTGAAAGGTAAGTAGGATGATCCAATCCACAACAATACCGGGATTCAGATCTGAGGCAGGAGCAAGAGAGCCACATATCCCAATCCAGCTAAACCGAAGCAGGAGATCAGCACAAGATGAACAGAGGGCAGAAAAGCCTCAGCCTTTTGCCATCAAAGTCGATCCACGTGACTGAAGATGACGATGACCACGTCCCTCTCATCATTGAACACATGCACATGCCGACATCCACGTCCTTTTCGGTCTCCATCCCTCCACCTCTACGAGATGGAAACACCACAACTCCTCTTGCATCCGCTTCCCCCATCGGTAGTCCATCGACTTCGCTCCACCCCATGTCGAGCCCATTCATGGATCAATCCTCGCCCACTGCCAATGTCCAAGCGGTCTCAAGAAGGGTCTCCGACGGCCTGCTCACCAAATTCCCGGACACGTCGGAGTTCGACTTCGAGTACGAGAAGAGCAGCCTGTGGTCGCCTCCGGTGCGGTGCGCCACCTCCCTGAGCTCCGAAGGCGAAGTGCTTGCAGAACTGAGGGCCTCTACTGCTGGGCGCCGTCGTAGCCCATTGAATAAGGTCAGTAGAGAAGCGAGATCTCTAATACAAACAGATTCATCATTGGATTAGATTGCTCTCAGAAATCAATGTGAAGATTACTTTGTTCTAACAGCTGGTCTTTGATCTGTTCATGGCTGTAGGTCTTCCGGTGCTTCCACAGCGAAGAAGGTCGGTGGCATGGAGGTCGATGAGCTTCCGAACATAGTTTGCATGCGGTCAATGATTTCTTTAGGCTTGATCTCAGATGCTTTTTTTTGGACTCTAAGCAACATCTCAATCCCCAAAATCATCTTTTGATTTCGAAACCTATCAGACTTCAAAGGAATAAAATATTTATATGTGAATGTGAGTCTCAATGATGTCTCTGTCTCCAGATACATTCTTGCTGGATGCAAGATGCAATGATTATAAACGTCTAACAATTAGAGTTGTATTCTGCTTGTTGATTCTTAACATTCTTCCATTTTGCTTTTCACATACAGGGAAATTGAGTGGGTTGACTTGGTCAACAACTTCAGGCACAAAGTAATTAAATATCACAGTCAATCTAAGTGCATGGATTACAGTTGACTATTAATTTGACCGTAACAATTGGGGATTATACTGCAGTTAGAGAATGAACACATTAAGATTGCTCTTCCGACAATGTCCATCTCCATCTGTGCAGCATCCATCAGCTGCATGGCATCCGCAGGGCCACCTTGATGTGTTCTTTGATGTGCTTCTGCATTAATATCTAAGCTATCAAAAATGACACCTTATCTTCTTCCAATCAGTGGTTGGTAAACATTGACAGCATCAGTCATAGCATACATTGAGTTTACTCTGGACCAGCGGTGAGCAATAGAAAGTAAAGGACAGCTTCATTCTCAAGGCATCATATTGTCTGTTCTCTTGCATGCAATCAAACAACAATAATAATACAGTCTCAATTATTTAGGATTAACTACATGAATCTTTGATCAATTGTTTACCTCCTTGCTTGATCTGAAAGCTAATGACCGAGGATGGATGCAATTGAAAGATGAAGGTCATACAATTAACTGTTACAGTTTTCTGGTAGAAGAATCACTGCATCAAATGATTTCTCAGTTCACCTTCCTGCAGTCCAATCTGATCTCCCCGTCCGTCCCTGTCAGCGGGCTGATGTTTCCCATCTTCACCACGGCCGCCGCGAAGTCCTCGGCAAAGGCGTCCGGGTCGGTGCTGTACTGCTGCACCAACGAATCTTGCATCCCGTTGTTGAAGAGCTCCTGGTCCGAGTGGAGGAGGCCCCTGTAAGCGACGAGGTTCTCGTAGTAGGCGTTGTCGAAGGAGTCCGCGGTCTGGGTGTCCAGGGGGGCCAAGCTGTCGTCGTCGCCGGAGGAGGGGCAGCTCTGCTGGAGGTCCGACGCGAAGTCGGCGTCGACGTTTGTGTCGTTGTAGATATGGTCGCGGAAGTTGACGCACCGGGCTTGGCCGATGGTGTGTGCGCCGGAGAGGGCGGTCATGTCGCTGGCGCTCAGGCCCTTGGCAGCGAAGGAGGATATGAGCTGGGCGAGGCTGGAGGCAGGGCTGGGGAGGTCGTTGTTGGCCGCGCTTAGGCTGGCGGTGGTTGCGTCCCGGCGACCCAGCGGCACGGTCCAAGATGGTCCACCCAGCTGCAAGGAATTCGAGAGTTGTGAGCACAAAGTGTGAGAGGATGTTCACGGTGGTGGCAATAGAACTTACCAGACCGACACCATCGCGGGCGGCGAGCGCTAGAATGTCGGCACATGAGACTGTGCCGGGGCAGAGTAGCTCGACTGCGGTTTTAATGGTGTCGATGACATCGAAGCCACGCAGGGAGTTGGCGTTCGGCCCTGCGTTCTTTTCTCCGGTGAAGGTCGCCGTGTCATCCAGCAGAACTGACGCGTCACACCCCTGAGAAGACAAGGAATTCATCTTTCTTTCATCAGCCCTGGATCAAATTCCTTCAGTACTGTTCCACCAGCAAAGCAGGGGAAAAGAGTTATACGTTCACGAAGCAGTCATGGAAGAAGAGCCGAAGAATGGACGCCCCCATCCGCGGCTCGAGGAGGACAACCGGCGTCATGGCCAGAAGCACCACCGTCTCCAGGGTCGGACATGTCTCGCTGTAGAACGTAGGCGACAGCTGCCCGCTGGAAGCGGAGACAAGCAGGAGGAGAAGAGCCATCCCGAGGAAGCTTCTGCAGGCGGCGGCCATGGTTGAACGAAGGGTAAACCTCGAGGTAACTTAAGAAAGAGAAGCTTGGGATGGCCTGCTACGTATATATTGCTCGAGGTTGGATGAATGAGTCTGAGATGCTCCGATCGACGGTAGACATCTCGATGCCCGCATGCATGGCCTGTCATGAGATGAGAGGACGACCAGTCTTCATCTGCCACGACTCGTTGGAGAAGGGAGGTTGAGGTGTCAACATTTCTCCTTGGACCATGGCCATTTATTGCCCATGTTGTTTAGCTTGGGGACGATGGTCTGATGCGTTTGAGGATGACAATTTTACGTATCTTCATACGTTAAATTACGCGTGGAATTTGGATTTCTCGTGATGAAAATGATGATGGTTTCTTCAATATCATCAAACTATCACATATCATTCCCTAACATTCACGCGAAGTCGATGAGACAAGAGGTAGGGCCCAGTTAGGCAAAGTTAATTGAAGGTTTATGCCGACAACAACACGATCAAATGTAATCTTATCTTTTGCGAATCTTGCAGTGAGTGTAACAGTCAACCGCCATCGACGACGTTGACCGTGGTCGACGAGGGAAGGCAACCCACGTCAACTTTAAAGCTCATTTATGAAGCAAACAAAATGACTAGTTTGAAGTACAACTTGTTATTATGATTCAACTGAGTTGATGATGCCAACCCAAACAATTTAATCTAATAATGACATTTCCTAATAGGTGAAGTATGGTCAAAGCAACATGGCTACGTGTCATCGACATTACGATGGATTAAACGCATGTGTTACATGATAAGCACACGTTGTTTCGTGTGATGATGATGGGTCGGTTCATAATTAGTTTGACTTGATTTAACCCGGTCAACTCTTGGGTCGAGTTGGATTGGAAATCTTGACCCGAGAGCGGTCGGGTTGGGTTAATCAATGATCCGGCAAATCCAATTCAATAGAAAATTAATCTAAAACAAAATCTATAAATACTTTTTTATTTAAACCGTATATATAGGTTTATCGTAAAATTTATAATCCCATAAATTCCCATGAATCTTACTTATCCCGCCGTTAAAAATTGACATGGGCTTTATTGGGCCGAAATCTTTCAGGGTCAATTAAATTGGCCCATTCGTTAACTAATACCTTCGTTACTTGGTAGTGGCACTTTCGGAGATTTTGGTCGGGTCAGAGGCAAACACAAAACCCTAAGCAAGATTAGGGTTTCAAAGAGAATTGTACGCGTTGATATTTAGGGTTTCGTTTGGTCGATCCCCCGCCGCGCGAGCTGTTCCTGGTCGGCTAGGCCGTGGTTCCCGCTCCTGATCTCTCGTTCGCAATGGTTGTGCTTCTTGGTTTATCGGCGCTTCGCTTCCCCTTTTTCGCTCCTCTTCTGATGGATTCGTTCTTCTCGTCCTACCCCGCAGGCTTCCGAGAAGAAGCTGTCGAACCCGATGAGGGAGATCAAGGTCCAGAAGCTCGTCCTCAACATCTCGGTCGGGGAGAGCGGTGATCGTCTCACCAGGGCCGCTAAGGTTATTTCTTTCTCGATCAATTCATTCTCAGGTCGAAATCACTTTGCGAATTACTTCATTCTTCCTCTTTCTAGATTGACAATTTTTGGTTTCTAGGTAGAAATTTAGATTTTGATGGCGTACTTATGATTTTTTATTAGGCTGAGGTGAAATTGGTGCATATTTGAAATTAAAGCTAAATTTTTTGATCTTTGTGTTTATATGATATCTTTTTGCTTCTCCAACACCAGTCCTTAATAGCCATATAAATCTGCTCTCTGAGTGCCAAGTATAATATGAATATGTCTCTGTAATGCATATGTAAAATTTACTATCTGCACAAAATTTTCTAAAATTAGAAAATCTCGTCTGCAATTGCCACTATAATGTCGGTTTTGTGTGGCTATCTTTTAGCTTTCTAGTTCGTGAATAGCAGGGGATACAAACTGTCCTGTTTGCCATGTATCATTGCTAACTGGACTACACAGTGTCTTTTTCTCTATCCTGTGTTTCCTGCTCGCCAGACTGTTAATGTTGGTTTGAAGTTAATGAGTATTGTATATGTGCTGCATTGTTGATTGCGTTGATTTCATAATTAATTGTGGGTTGATATGCATACAGAGTTTAAATTCTTTGTCTGTAGAATATGCTGAGTTCGTTTGCTTATGGGTCTTGTTTCCTTTGCTTATGTAGGTTCTGGAGCAGCTGAGTGGACAGACACCAGTTTTCTCTAAGGGTAATTTTGTTTTGCCTAAAGAGCGCATAAGCAGAATAATTTTGAGATTCTTTTTCTGATGGGCCTATGCCTATGGTTGATATAATTCTGCAGCGAGGTACACTGTCCGGTCCTTTGGAATCAGGCGTAATGAGAAGATCGCGTGCTATGTCACGGTCAGAGGTGACAAGGCAATGCAACTTCTGGAAAGTGGACTAAAAGTGAAGGAATACGAGCTGTTGAGGAGAAATTTCAGTGACACTGGCTGCTTCGGTTTTGGAATTCAAGAGCATATTGATCTTGGAATTAAGTAAGCAGTTTCTTAGTTGTTTTTTTGTTAATTTTGCTTTGAGAACCACTGAATATGAACTATAAAGATCTGAATTGTCTGTCGGTGTTTATATTTATAATGTGAATCTGTAAAATCATCTGTTAGAAGTTAACACCTAAGTTGATCATCATTTCCATCGGGGTACAAATTTGATGATGGGAATGTGTTTGATTTAAGATTTAACTATGAAACTTTGTATAGGCAATCCACCTGTAGCTAAATCAGTGTTTGTATATGTAGATTTCAACTGTTACTGTTCTGTTGTCATGTGAAAGGCATGGGAGATAGCGTTTTTTGGCATTTTACTCGTGAATTTTCTGAGTGAAGAAATAATAAACGTTAAAACAATTTAAAACAATTTTACCTGCCCTTTAGTGCAATTTGTTTGCCGTCCTTTTTAAGGATAGATATAGATTCACTGTTTTGCTTTTTTATTTGAGCATAGTCATTCAAAAGTGAAGAAATTATAGGTTTTCCTTTGTATCCAACCTCCCATGATAGTTTTACTGTTCAACTGAGTTTGGAAGTTTACCTTTTGGCTGTGAGCATAAGTTTCTGTAGCATTCTCTATTTTTATCAGTGCATTGGTAAGTTATAATCAGGAATTGCTGATTATAAAGAGTGTGGTGTAGAAAGGAGAAAGAAATTTGAGGATAGATCATAAAAATGTGAAATTGATGAACATGAATATTTTAGTTGCTTGTATTATTAAAAGCATGACACTGATTGATTTTTGCCTTGGCTTTGGCGTGCATCATGACCTGTGTAGTGTTGCACTTGTCATGTTTCAACTCAACAAAGTCGTGCTATGCTGATAATGTGCATATCATGTTGACTGTTCTCTGTATTTGGGCATCGTATTGAAATTGATGGGTTGCTTTGTGTCAATGCCCCATTGGCATGGTACATTTCATATGGTTTAGCACCATCGTGGTGATGTTACGTAGCATTCAAGAGGCTGATGACTAGGTAAGGAAGAAGTTTATGATCAAGGGAAACTACAGCTGCAGGCACTGAGACTATCACATATCAAAACTAGGAACCTGTCAAGAAGATGAAAACTCAGGTCGTAATGTGCTTATCATATGGCGTTAATATGGTAGATCATTGATCTATAGCTTTTGTGAGGCAGATTATATAGAGGTCTATTGTTTTACAGGATGAAAAGTTTGTTAATCAACAGACTCCATGATCTGGTTTAGGTGAAGAGACTACAAGTTTTTTCGCTGTTGGGAAAAAAGCATGACTGCCCATGTTTCCACGGAACATTACATACTTGTATGTGATGAACATGTCAGAGAACGACCAATTTTTTATGATTTGGATTTTCTTTGATGAGCAGAGGGCTTGAAGTTTGCTTTCAATCAGACTGTCCTGTGAACAAAATTGTTGGGTTTGAAAACCTGATAGCCCATATTTGTTATGCACTGTCAAATGTTGACCTAGTTCCATAAAAATCATAGCAGAGGGGCACATAAATCAAATTCAAGTCATTGTGGAAACTAGAGTAAGAATTCGAAGAAAAATTGATATGTTAAAAGTCTTCAAATAGGATTATAGGTTCACACCATGGCTTGCAGGTCCAAATTAGGAATGGGATAAGCATGGTCACCGATGGCTGTGTCAAAAGGCATGCTTAGAAAGTTCATGTAAGCCTACTTGTAATTAATGCTTATTTTGTTATTCTTACTGAATGTTAATTTATTTTACTTTTACAGGTATGACCCCTCAACTGGTATCTATGGTATGGATTTCTTTGTTGTCTTGGAGCGTGCTGGTTATCGTGTGAGCCGTCGTCGCAGATGCAAGTCCCGTGTTGGCATTCAGCACCGCGTCACCAAGGAGGATGCAATGAAGTGGTTCCAAGTGAAATATGAGGGTGTCATCCTCAACAAGTCTCAGACAACCACGGGTTAGGGTTTGGTACAACTGAAACTTTGAACTTGTTCTAAGCCAAATTAGCTCTCATCTGTTTTTTTTTTTTTCTTTTTCATTGTTCCAATTTTGTGTTTGGAGAAAATTTTATGCTATTTCCTATATGTTGCTATTAGTGTTGAAATTGGTCATGGACCCATGGAATCATACTTTAGGTTTTTACGAAATACATGGCAGTCTTGACAATTGGACTGCGTAGCTTAATCTCAAGATGAATGTGTTTTCGAGTTGGCGTTTCAAAGTTGATTTTTCACTAGAGTCAGTTGATTCTTCACAACTCTAGTGTTAGATTGCAAAGCTAGTGCTGGGTGCTTTCTCGATTCAGTGAGATCCGAAAAGAGGACTTTTGTGAAGTAGTGTTCTTTTGGATCTCGGAACAAAAGGTCAAGAGGAATTGTCTTTGAATGAATGATATTTTTCCCTCCAGCCTGTGTTGATGTGGAGTTGATTGGATTTCTCATAGGGAGTTTTGAATGATCGATCTTCGACCGGAGTTGCAACAGCAGGTGTTGGGCAAAGCAAGCGCATTCTATGAAGTCTGTAGTGAATACATTTGGCTCGATGAACTCAGAACCAGTGATGTATCAGAGACAGAAATCCCATAACCAGAAAAGGAAGGAAAACCTGTTCATATATATATATATATATATATATATAACATTTGATTAAAACATAAACATGTTACAATATTAGTTAGGATGATTCTATTGAAAGAATTTCTCATTTTTAATTTTTTTCCATCATATGATGCTCCATATTTTTGTTTTTTCTTATATAGGTTCCCTATTTTTGTAATTTTGTAAATGCCCTTCCCCGCGCCACTATGCCTTTGCTCATCGTCTTTTTCTCTCTCCCTCTACTCATTCTTCATTTTCGCTTTCCTCTCCTCTCGTCCTTCTCCATCGTCTTTTTCCTTCTCTTTGTTTCCCATCTAACCCCTCGTCTCCTTTCGCCCATCCTTCCCTTCGTCCTCAAAAGGCAACGAGGCCTCCTCATGATGCGAAGGGGAGCAGAGGCGAGAGACGATTAGTGGCATCACCTCGTGCCACATCACGTGGCGGGCTTGTGAGAAACCAGAGATTGTGTGAGACACGTGTGCACAAAGAAAAGTTCAAAAAAAGAAAAAGAAAAAAAAAGAGGATAATTTTGAGGTTAGTTTTTTTGTAATAAAAGCTCTAACACATTCAACATGCACCAAACCATAACACGGGCACGCAGCCAACCTCCTACCGATCCAAACAGATACGATTAGCTAAAGAACTTCCAAGTTTCTTGGGTTGCTTCCAGCCAACAGGCACAAAGAAGAAGAGGATCATGCCCCGGTTGCCTCAGACCAGAAGTCCAGAACGGCAGATCAGCCCTCGGAATTGTGAGCTCTCTCTCTCTCTCTCTCTCTCTCTCTCTCTCGGTCATCACCAGACCGACTTCTCCACGTCAGGTTGATCGCGGCCTCACCGGCGTCTTCGACGGACTCACCCTGAAGCAAAACACACAGGGATTCATCATATAGTTATCATGCGAACCATCGGTTGCCGGTGAAGAACCTTCGGTACCTAATCGGGAGACCCCCCAAAGCCACGCCGCTACAGTTGAGAGCTGAGATCGCGCTTTCTGCCTGCCATTCACATCATATACGTGTTCATAGTTCCCAAGAAAACCAATTCAATAAATATAAACAATTGATTTCAACACGCACGCCACCACTTTGTCAGAAGGAAAAAGATATTTTGGTCTACAACGAAAAAAAAAAAAAACAATGATAATAGAAAGCCTTAATGTCCCAACTAATATGAGGTTAACTACGTGGATCTAATCAAACGATTAGAATTCGAATCGACAGTTCAATAATGAACAATCACAAATGACGACACTCGATGGTAATTACCTGGGCAAACTCGACGAATGCAATACGTGTCGAGTGTATGTTGTCACCAAGAAGCCTCAGACGAGAAACCTGGAAATAAAAACACTGATAAGAACCGCTTTGAACAGTTATCCAAAGCAAATTCCAGTTTGATGATAGTTGGCTGACCTCACCACAGGATTGTTCAAAGAAAGCTTTTACTTGTGGCTGAGTAACCTGCAACAGAAGGATATGATCATGGGGTAGTATAACAATGCCGAAACTAGTTCTATTATACATGCATAATTGCAACCATAAAATCAGCTTTCGCTAAGTTATTGTTGTAGGATAATCATAATAGCACACCAAATATATGGATTAAAACAAGCAGAAGACGGTCTACCTTTTTATCGATGTTTGTACAGTAAACTGTCCTTATGACCATTTCCTTTTCGTCTTCGGACTGCTCCATTCTCAACAATTAGTAAGATTTTAAACAGATTAAACAATAGTATGGAGGTCATAAATAAATCTCTATATTGTAAAATTTTGGTTATCCTAAAATGATATCAATAAGCTAAAACCAGTAGGCAAGGCAGGAAATGAAAAAAAGGAACTCACCCTAGGAAGAAGTTTTGGGTTCACGGGCATAATTGCAGTCTTTGAAGGTAAGACTTTGACTGGATAATAACCAAGCATAGTTCCACCAAGATTTAGAGCTGTCCTTGCACCATCTATCAGCATATATCAATTGTTAGAAAAAAAAAAATCAAATGATACATTATCCAGAAAAGAGTAGGTGTCATGTGCAGTTACCCTCATCCGAGAACTCTATAAAGGCAAATCGCATCACCGAGTGAGGGTCACCGCAAATTCGGCAATCCACCACCTTCGGTACATAAATTTTACAATGATAAGAGAAATGACAATGGATATAAGCAATACACTATGACTTTGTGATTGTAGAATTTGCGGGAAGGAAACTAAGCAAGATAGTTTGCCATCATCAAAAGAAAAAGGTACTTCGACAAAAATCTAACTTATGGACACCCTTCTCCTTCTCCCTGACACCAAGCCAACTTGTTTCGATATAGTCTTTTCAACTTCTCTTCATGTACTGGGAGACAAGTTAGGTTTTTCATCAACATAGCTGCTGAGGGTGTTCAATTTGTTAAATATTTTTTTGTGCAAAAGCTAAGAACATTGTCTTCAGATTTTTTTAAGCAGAATTTGACTTTGAGAACTGCAGGGTTTGGAGGATTTAAACTCCATTTATTATGACGAGTAATTCATTGTTTTATTTTACTAGAGCCAAATCCCCAAAACAGGCAAGAAATAGTAAGTGATGCAGTCAAACAAGTTGTTAGTCAAAGCAGATACAAGCAGGAAATAGTAGGCGCTATAGTCAAGCAAGTTCTTATTTGAATTGGATGCTAATATGTTTTTGTATAAAGTACTTGGTCCAGGTCCTTTCTTCTATGAAATTATACAAATACAGAATATACAATCATTACAGTCTTACACAAATCTAATAATATGATTGCAAAAGTTTTTTTTGGCTAAAACATTGACATACTGATTGAATAGAAGGGAAAAGAGAATGATGTGATTGGAAGAACAAAGGATATCAAAGCAAAATTGTTAAGAAGAAAAGAAAAACAAAATGGTTTGTTCAAGGGATGCCTCTCTGGCTGTGAGGATCTCCAGCCAAATCTTTGATATTGAATCTATATCATTGATGAGTGGTTCACTGAACTTTTGATGTTTCTTCGACTAGGTCTAGTATGTATATATTAAGCCTTTGAAATTATTTCATGCAACATGCTCCTATTTGCTGAAAATCAAAACAAGCCAATCAATTCCTACTTGCTTCCCAATGTGAACAAAATGTCCACATGTTTCTTCCTTTTGGCACCCAGATTACGTTAAAGATATTAATAATCATTTTAGGTATAGATGATACCATCACCTTGTGTTATAAGCTAACTCCGCTTATAGAAAGGTATAGGAAATCCCATAATTAAAGGGTTCTGAATCCCATAATTAAGGGATTTATAATTTCATAATTAAGGAAATGAATTAGTATCAAATCAGCATCAAATCAATTAGTATCAAATTAAGAAAATGAATTAGTAACATAATTAAGGGATTCTCAGTCAATATCAAATAAAAGCCCATATTATAGGAAATGAATTAGAATGAAATATTGTATAGAATCAATATAATCAATTTTCTTAGTTGTACAGGTTGTAATAAGCTTATATATGTCTTCCTTTGTATACAGAAAAAATTAATGAATGAGAAATTATATTCTCTTGTGTTCATAGTATACAGAAAAAATCAATTTTTCTTCTTTCTTTCAGTCTTAATTGCTGACAGTATTTTCCTCTATTCTGCCACTCTTCGGATCAGCCCCAACTATTTCTTATTTTTGGTTTGCTTGTGAGGAACCTACACTACTATGTCTGGAGGAGAGAGGATGAAACTAATGCTTCTATCTCCGACAAACAACTTAGGTGACAATCCATCCTCGCTAATTACAATGCATAAACTTAACGGACAAAACTTTCTTTGTCAGTTTGTTGGCCCCAGCCTGTAAAGTTGCATATCCGAGGAAGAGGAAAGATTGACTATTTGATCAAATCAATAATGACACCTACAGAGGATGATCCTAAGTTTGAAGTATAGGATTCTGAAAATTCCATGATCATGTCATGGTTGATAAACTCTATGGAACTAGAAATTAGCTAAACATATATATTTTTACCAACAATAAAGAAGTTATAGGATGTTGTGGTTGAGACATATTCTGATATGGGGAATCCAGCCCAAGTATTTGAGATTACAAGCAAGATCAGAGAGTGAGCTTAAACAAGGTAATACTAGTGTTACAAAATACTTTAATACTTTGAAAACACTGTGGCAAGAGCTTGATATTTTTTCTGATTTTGAGTGGTCATGTGCTGCTGATAGTTTTTGATACATAAAAATGCTTGAGAGGGATCAATCCTTTTAATTTTTGGCAAGTTTAAACAAAAAATAGATGAAGTTCGTGGATGAATATTAGGAAAGGATCCATTGTCATCTCTCCAAGCTATATTCTCCAAAGTTATGAGGGAGGAAAGTAGAAGACAAGTCATGATGGGATCTTCCACTCCATTTATGATTGCAGAAAATTCTGCACTTATTAGGACAGTTAAAATTAATTCTTTTGTTAATGCTGTGCAACATAATCAAAGGGAGATGATAAAAGCAAAGTATGATGTGATATTTATAATAAACCAAACTAAGACACACAAGGATTTTAAGTTGACAATCAATTTGCCACCACCTCTAAAGGAGACGAAATGCCTTTGTTCAATAAGGAACAAATTGAGCAACTGTTTAAGTTTCTAAACCAGTCCCCAAATCCTAATCCTTCTCCTTCGTCATCTTGCTCTTTGGCCAAGAAAAGTAATTATTTCATAGTTTTGTCTACTTTTGGTCTTAAGGCTCCTTGGACCATAGATTCTAATACAACAAACCATATGACTAGCCTTTCACACTTGTTTTCCTCCTACACACCTTCTCCAATAAACTCTAAAATAAAATTTCTTGATGGATCACTTTCTTCTATGGCAGGAAAAGACACAATTGCAATTTCAAATTCCTTTGTATTAAATTCTATGCTTCATGTTCTCAACTTGTTTTGTAACTTGTTGTATATTAGCAAACTCACAAAGGATTTACATTGTGCTGCTAAATTCTTTCATTCTCACTGTGAATTTCAGAACTTATATTTGGGGAAGATGACTGGTAGTGCTAAAGAGGGCGAAGAACTTTATTATCTTGAAGATGACACTACTTGGAATGGACAAGCTTAGTTGACAATAAATAGTAACACTCCTACTAGTAGTGAAATAATGTTGTGGCACTATAAACTAGGCCACCCAAGCTTTCCTTATTTGCAAAAGTTTTTACCTTCATTGCTCAAAAATAATAATAGTTCTTTATTTTAATGTGAAATTCATCAATTTGCTAAACACCATCGCACTGTTTTTCCTTCTCGGCCATACAAAGAATCCAAACTACTTAGTCTTATACAGAATGACATTTGGGGTCCTTTTAAAGTGAAATCTGTTCAGAACCAAGTGGTTTAAAACATTTATTGATAACCATACAAGAGTATGTTGGGTTTACCTCTTAAAAGAAAATTCTCATGCTGAAAAAACTTTCAAGAACTTTCATACCATGATCCAAAATCAATTCCAAGCAAAAATACAAGTTTTGAGAACTGACAATGGTAGAGAATACTTTAATACTATTCTTGGTTCTTATTTGTTAGAGTATGGAATAATCCACCAATCTTCATTTGTAGATAGCCCCCAACAAAATGTTATTGCCAAACGAAAAAATAGACACCTACATGAAGTAGCACACTCTCTTTTATTCACTACATATGTTCCTAAATATCTTTTAGAAGATGCCATTCTTACTGCTTCATATTTGATTAATCGAATGCCTATCATAATATTTAGTTTCCAAACACCTCTTGATCGTTTAACTCTCTTCCACCAAAGGTATTTGGGTGCATTGCTTTTGTCCACATTCATAACCATCATTAAAGTAAACTTGAGCCACGTGCATTAAAGTGTGTGTTCATTGGCTACTCCCCGAATCAAAAGAGCTAAAAATGTTATAATCCCATATCGAAAAAATATTTGTCACTATGGATGTCACATTCTTTGAAAACTAAACATATTTCTAAAAAAATCATCTTCAAGGAGAGAATTCTACCCAAGAAGAATGTTTTTGAGAACTGTCTCTACCAATCTCTATTTCTTGTCAGATTCATCTCCTACTTTCACTCTATCAAACTTACCTAGCCAACAACTAACTAGTCCTATTGATACTCTTGAATCCAAATCTCCAACACAGTAACATGCTATTGGACAATCTAGTTCAGGGAGAGATATCACTGTGATTGCACTTGAGCTTCATGTGTATTCAAGACAGCAAAATCTAGAAAAAGTCGATGTTCACCCTCCTGAATACTGCCAAGAGTCTAAACCGATAGCAGATCTAAACATAGACATAGGTAACTCTATTCCTTCCTCAGATGTTGATGTTCCCATTGCCATTAGAAAAAGAATTAGATCTTGTACGATGCATCCTATCTAAATATGTATCCTATCATAGATTGTCTCCAACCTTTAAAGTTTTTACACCTCACTTGTCTAGTTTAGAAATTCAAAAAAATATACACGATACTCTATTAATTTCAGAATGGAGAGAAACAGTTATGGAGGCGATGAGATCTCTTCAAAAGAATGATACTTGGAGTGTGGTGCATCTGCCAAAGGAGAAGAATCCAGTGGGATATAAATGAGTGTTTACTATTAAATATAAGACAAATAGTTCTATTAAAAAACACAAAGCCAGATTGGTTGCAAAATAATTTACTCAAACATATGGTATTGACTACCAAGAAACATTTGCTCCGGTTGCGAAACTAAATACTATTCAAGTATTTCTATCTTTTGCAGCTAATTTTGAATGGCTTTTACATCAATTAGATGTGAAAAATACCTTTCTTAATGGAGAACTAGGGGAAGAAGTATACATGGATCTACCACCCAACTTTGAAAATTTGTATGGCTCGAATAAGGTGTGCAAGCTAAGAAGATCTCTTTATGGTCTTAAGCAATCACCACGTATATGGTTTGAGAGGTTCACAAGGTCAATTCGTGGCCATGGTTACACTCAAAGTCACTCGGACTATACAATATTCTAAAAACACGTAGATAAGGGAGATATTGCTATTCTTATAGTTTATGTGGATGATATTATCCTAATAGATAATGATGTCTCAGAATTGGAGAAATTGAAGTATATCCTAGACAAAGAGTTTGAAGTTAAAGTTCTTGGATAGCTAAGATATTTCTTGGGCACGGAAATAGCAAGATCAAATAATAGGATATTTTTTTCAAAAAGAAAATACACCTTAGATCTTCTAAAAAAATAGGGATGCTTGGTTGTAAGCCTTGGGACACTCCAATATATCTTATCATAAATTGGGATGTCCTTCTCAAAGAGCGATGGTAGATGCAATCAAATATCAGAGATTGGTCGGTAAGTTGATTTATCTAACTCATACTCGCCCAGACTTGGCATTTGTAGTGAGTCTAATGAGTTAATTTATGCATTCACCACATGAAGAATATTTAGAGGTAATATATAGGATCCTTAGATATCTGAAAAGGACTTTAGGCAAAGAATTATTATTCAAAAAGGTCAATCATATGAGAATTGAGGCCTTCACTGATGCTGATTGGGCAAGATAAATAAGTGATAGGAGATCAACTTCAAGATATTGCACATTTGTTAGAGGTAATTTGGTTACTTGAAGGAGCAAGAAGCAGATAGTTATTGCTAGAAGCAATGCTAAAGCAGAGTTCAGAGCAGTAGCACTAGGTATTTATGAACTCTTATGGCCAAAAAATGCCCATACTGTGACAATAAGACTATACTGTGACAATAAGACTGCTATCAACATTGCTCATAATCCAATGCACCATGATCGAACAAGCATGTTGAAGTAGATCGACATTTCATAAAGGAGACAATTGAAGAAAGAATTGCCTGCATGCCTTACATTCCTACAAAGAAGCAACTAACATATATTCTTATCAAAGAGCTTCAAAGATCTTCTTATGAGGATCTAACAAGCAAGCTGGGAAAGATTTACATCTTCGAGCCAGCTTGAGGGGGAGTGTAGAAAATCTCATGATTAAAAGATTTTGTATCCCATAATTAAGGAAATGGATTAATATCAAGTCAGCATCTAATCAATTAGTATCAAATTAAGGAAATGAAATAGTATCATAATTAAGGGATTCTCAATCAGTATTAATCAACCCACATTATAGGAAATGAATTAGAATGAAATATTATATGGAATCAATAGAATCAATTCCCTTAGTTATACAGGTTATAATCCACTCATATAGATCTTCCTTTGTATATAGAAAAGATCAATGTATATAGAAAAGTTCAAAAGTCATAGATGCTTAAGTTAAATTTTGCTTCAACAGACTGCATTACCTATGTAAAATCAGTTATTTTTAATAATTGTGATACAAGGAAAGACATAGTTTAGCATGCATATAAGAATAAGATTTCTTTTTCCTAAGGGAAAATGAAACCAATAAATTTGCAACTGTTACTCCCTTATTATCTAACATGGCTGCAAAGTTAAAACAAAATAAACCTTAAATTGTCTGTCGCCTCTTGGCCAGAGTACTGTGCCCTCATCAGCAAGCCAACAACTTCATAGTCAATTAAATTATCATTCTGAGACTGTACTTTGGAGAACAATGATCACAAGGTTACTTAGTTGCTTCTCCATTTCTTACCAACTTGAGAAGATATAAAGAAATTGCATCAACTCTTAACTCCTTTAACAAAAGATGCAGAAAATAGGAACTTGGATTGAAGAAGAATAGATGCAAGAAAAAAAAATCATGTACTAAATGAACAACCAGCATATCATAGAAAACCTTGGTGAATGAAGTTTGAGAAACTTACTTGTCCACATGTAGCAAATATTTCAGCAAGCTTCTCTTCAGTCACCTGATGCAGTTTTTACATAATTAATATCAATATAAGCACCAAGCCAGCTTAAGCCTTTAGGAATGATGACAAGAACAAGAACTAGAAGAAGATTATAACACTAATAAAGGACAAAAAG